AAGTTTCACTTACTTCATTGGCCCTAACTGGGTTACCCTGCCATTCCCACATGGATCATTGCAAGGTGACTGCAGAGAAGGAGTTTGGACGGGACTGCCTCAACAAAGCAACATCATCTGCCACACTTATCCATTTCCTCCTGCCACATCCTCGATCAGTGAAAGAGTAGTTTTATGATTCCTACCATGTTTTAAATGTTCAGTACATGCCAAGCGTGATATAAAGTACATTACATTCATTATTTCATTTAACTCTAGTAAAAATCTCATGCAATTATTATCATTGTCACTATTGTTATTCTCATTTTAAAGCTGAGAAGAGAAAGAGACTTGGCCAGCACAAGGTCACACTGCCAATGAGGGACGAGGCGCACATCTGGCCCTGTTGAAAATCCATGAACTTAATAACTATCAATTTGGCCTCCCAGTTGTGAGCTACAGTGTGGAAAGTGGGCTTGGAGATTCTTTTTTCTCCTAAAAACAAAAAAGTAAAATTCTTTCGTGTTAACTCATTCAGATTGCTCTGACACCTAAGCATTCTAAATAAAGCGAACCTTTAAGATGTGATGTGGAGAAAGGAAAGAAAGGAGCTAGACATTGTCTACAATCAGCAATTGCAGTCGTGCCCCTCCACTGCCCTGCTCCTTGAAAGGAGGGACCAAGGGGCTTGAGAAGAGGAGAGCTAAGTCTGGGACAGAGGGACTGAATTCTGCATCTCCACTTTAACGCATTAGCTTGTGAACTCAGGCTGGTAAACGTTTTGCATCTGGTTCTCTGAGTGTAGCTCTGCCTCAAATGTTGGTTGACATTTTCAGTTATGGTACCCAGTAAGACAAAACTCAGACAATGAAGATGCATTTTGGAACTTTACTGGTTCATCAGTGATGTGACTTCTTTACTAAATAAGATAATAGGGTTTAAATACTGGAAGGATATTTCCCCAATTATTTGTGCTATTCACAATGTAACAGCTATAGATATAACACATTTTTCTTTTGTTTGAGGTCTAATTGACACATAACATTATATTTGTTTCAAGTGTTTAACATAATGATTCGATTGTTTGTATATATTATGAAATGATCACCACAATAAGTCTAGTTAACATCTGTCAACATAAATAATTATACATTTTTTTCTTGTGATGCAATGTATAACATAGTGACTATAGTTAATAATAGTGAATTGCATATTTGAAAGTTGCTAAGAAAGTAGATCTTAAAAGTCTTCATTACAAGAAAAAAAACCCACATTTTGATTTAACCTGCTGTATTAATATTTTCTTCACCACCTTTTAAAGTCTAGACAATGAACAAAATAGGAAATCAAATACTGATTTCCACAGCATAAACACTCTCAACATAGCCGCTTTCAAGCTACCAACATAATATTGTTGAATGAGAGACGGGAAAGACATACGCAGTAAGTAGCACATTATTTTATGGTATTTCCGTTATATAGATACAATAGATATAAAGAACCGTAAGAGAATAGTAAAACAATTAGCAAGTGATGAGTTTTGAGTATCTATTACTTTTGTGGATACCATTTATTTAATTGTAAATTTATAAAATTTAATTTTTAATAATGTCTGGGTTTAAGAACCAGCTCACAAGACTCCTGAAAATTTAACAATTAGCTCTCAGGAGCCTGTTCCACCCAGCTCAGCACCCAACTTGACGTATTTGAGTTGCTATTTCCTTATTATAAAACGGAAATTAAAATGCTTGCTTTGTCTACCTCAGTGATTACTGTGAGGATTACATAAAGAAAAAGAACTTTGTAACACCTAAGCGCTACATAGACACAACCTCAGGAAAATAAAGGAGAAATACAGGAAGAGAAGCAAAAAACATTCCCTGGAGAAAAGTGCAGTTTCAAAGAGACCAAATTGAAAATAAATTTCAAATTAATCCATCAATTTGATAGTGAAGACATCTTGCTATAGTATAGGAAAAGGAAGAGAAATGAATTGAAGGCTGTGGTGAATTGCGAAACTATCCACAATTCTTTGCACCTCTTTCCATCAAGAGGTTAAATGTGGGCTGACCACGTGACTTTCTCTGGCCTATGACCGCCATAGGACCTGGAGGCCAGCTGCAGACCCATGAGGGATGCCCAGCAGAGACTAGTCAAGCCTGCTCGGATCAGTGTAATGACCCCGTTGAGTCCAGTCCAAATTATTGATCTTCAGCATGATGAGCTAAATAAATCGTGGTGGTTTTAAATCACGAAGAGTTGAGGTGGTTTGTTACAGAGCAGAAACCAACAGAGCTGTATAAAGGGTTCAAGAGTTTATTGTAGGGTCTTAGTTCAAGGGTTTACATTGGGTTCTTCTTATTTAATCTCAATCTTTATAAGAGTCCTGTGAGTAGATATTTTTAATCATATTTTAATTCTATGGGACCTAAGGACTTTGGTTAGAGGAATGCAGTAATTCTCAAGCTGAAGAGTGTGTGGAAGGGCATATATGATTTGTGGAAAGAAAATTCATAGGTGTTTGGAGTTTAAAATCAGTATGTGGGAAAGAGATTTGAGAGATGAGGCATAGGGAAGTCTATTGTTGAGCAACCAGTAAACGTGTACTTTTGTGCCTGTAAAACCTGGATGGCTGGAAACTTTGTGGAAAATACACTCATTTCTGATTCCTGTACTTAGGTTTTAAAATAAAGATAAGAATTTGGGTAATCTGTTTTCTTCACAAAAAGTCTCAGATTGTATCTGACAGTCACTACTAACGATTCTACGAGTCTAGCAATGTTTCCCAAATACCCCTGAAGGATTTATATTTGGCCAAAAATAACCTTCAATGCTTTTTAAAGTTGGATGTCCTTTGTGAATTTCACGATGATATTCTACATTCAAAGCTCCCTATTGGCACAATGACTATTAATGTTTATTGCATTTGACTAAGATATGCTGTAATTCCTTCATTTGAAGTAATAAATTCACAGAGAAACTTAAATTTCTCTAAATTATACACAAACATGCAAACTCAGGTAATAAACTGATACCTGTGAAATTAATTTAATCTTGAAATAAAAAAAGAAAAAACCTGCCGTGCCTTTACTCACACAAACCTTGGTTTTTATTAAGGACCAAAATACGGAAATGCTGAATTTCAATAATTTCTCCAATTCTCCATCATTCTCTCCTTAAAATATTCCCATTCTCACTTCTTAGCTTTTATATATATGTAGACATATATATATATAAAACATATATATGTTTCTTCCTGGATGGGTTATGAAATAGGAAATTCTGATAATACTATCTGCATACAGCAAGAAACTGTTCACTGCTTGCTTATTATCATCTGTTTTACTTCTTTGTAAAAGAAAACCATTTTGAGGTCAGCTCTCAAAAGCCATAGGGAAACCACTGGAGTTATTTGCACATTTCTTTGTTAAAGGGATTGCAAAAAAATCTAAAGCTCATTCTGAAGATGCGGTATTGGTCACAGGCAAATCATGAAGATGGTCATGCTTGTCTTTGGGGCTCCCTTGTCTTGACTCTGGGCTCATTCCCTTCTTCTTCTGCTTCTTTCTCAGTATCCTCATGCTCCCTTCCCACCATCCATGGTGGAAAAGGCTTTATTGCAGAATCCACTTTGGCGAGTATTTGCGTTTTTATAAGGACCAAATCTTTAAACTAAATGGATAAAATTTTACAGCAGGAAATTCTCAAGCTGGTTTGGTTGCGTGTGTGCATGCAAGTGCAAAAAGGAGGGTTTGTGGATCACATGACACCACATCATAACATCACTGACCTGTTTCATGAATGCAGATTTGGATCTCCAAGGCTCTGAGCCCTGAGATTATACTGCTTTTCCAAATAAAAATGATATTAAACTCTACAATAAATGCAAAGAGTTCAGCTGAAATTCTGGCTTTTCTAATAATGTCTACTTGAATTGGTTTTAAAAGCAATATCAAATATTTTCCAACACATTGTATTGTCTTCATCTTTGGGCCTCTGCTGACCTCTGAAGCCATGACCTGGATGTTGAGTGCTGCCTTTGGTGACCCAGTGCTGCATGCATGGCTAGGACGACAAGCTGGCTTTCCAGGGAGAGTAGCAGTAAGACGGCCTCTTCAAAGCCCATTCAACATGGGTAAAATGCTTACTCCTTTTGAATTGTAACTAGTTGGAAAGATCCTCTTCGGGGATAATTAGCTTGAAAACTCTGCATATAAATTTATACAAAGTCAGGAATGATGGTAGCAGTGATACCTCTAGGATATTGCTGGGGAGGGGTGGGGAGTGGACAAGGTTGGCGTGGTTTCAAAAGAGGATTTTAACCTTATCTGTAATAACTTAGAATTTTTACAACAAATATATTTATATGTTACTTGGGTACTTAAAACTGAATTTGAAATGAGTTGATATGGTTGAATAATACTTCATATCATCCAGAATTCTCTGATTTTGGTCCACTTTAATTTTTCTTGGCCCATTTTCCCTTTGGAATCTCAATGTGCACACCCTACTCATCCTCCAAGCCTTTTTGTGGTCTTGCTCTTTCACCTCTCCCAGCTCCTGAGCTGATGCTCCCTGCCTCATTCTTCATCTGGTGAGATTTGGTACTAAATTCCTAAGCTGTTGTCCTAGTCTTAGAGTTGCAACTTGCCTCTTGTAGTAGTTGCACTCTGAGAGAGGGGCTCCTGCATTCGAGCTCTTGGGTGGCCCTAGTTCTTAGCATTGAGCACCTACCTGCTTAGGTCCCCATTCTGAAACCCTCTTCCATGAGCCTGCTTAGTTTACCAGTTCTACAAGGTGAGTACCAGGGCTGTGCCTTTCTCTTGTTTGGCTTTTGCCTTGAGATTGGAGACTGTCCTGTAAACCCAACCTAGTACCTGGAGCCTCGATCCTGGAACCACAACCCAGCCTGTCCAGCTTCCTGGTATTACACAACTGGGCTTTCCCCATCACCATGTCAGCTCCATCAACCTGCAGAGAAATCTCATCATAGCTGGGACAGCCTCTACCCAGTGCCGACTCTTTGCTTGAATCCTGAATTGAGCTGTTTAAACAGGTCAACAAGGTCAGGAGCTGTACTCCCTAATCCTTTGCCACATGGAGGACCCCTCAAGAAATCTTCAGAAAGTGAGCTACCAGGTGCAGTGTCCTTTGGACCATGGCCAAGCCAGTCAGAAAGACACTTGCTGAGGCAAAGATGGAGGTGTCAAGGCTAGAGATAAGAATGAAGAAAGAAACCAATGAGGCAAGATGGGGGTCAAGACAAATTAGACAGACGTGGACCAAGGCCCAGCCACACAGCAGGGTCTGCACAAAATAAATCACGCTGATGGCAGACTCAGGCCCACAGGCCTCTTTTAAACAGATCTGGCATACTCTCGAGGATCTGGGTAGGGTGAGGAAAGAGCCTAACGCGATGAGCTCTGCCAGCCAAATGCCTGCCTTCTCCTTCTGCCCTATTTCCCTCTGAGTAAACTGCTATGACTCATGTAAAAGAAAAAAATTCCCCCAATACAGCAGTCAGATCCAGCAGAACCCTTCTGAGTCACCAATCCTGACACCCTGAACCATGCCAGGGGCATTTCTATGAAAATGAGTTGTCTCATTTTAAAATATGTTTTTTTATTATTTTCTTATTTCCAAGTAATACACAGTAATCGTAGCAAATTTGGAAAATGCAAAAAAATAAAAAGAAACAAGAATCGATCACAAATATACCACTTATACGTAAGTATTGTTAATATAAAATAATTTGCGTGTGTCTTTTGTACTTTGTGCACGTGTGTGATCTATCTATCTATCTATGTATCTATCTATCTATCTATTTCTTTTTAAATGAGGTCAGACTGTTCCTACTGTTGACAGTCTGCTTTTCTTTCAAGCAACAACATGTTGTAGATATCTTTAACAGAATCATTTTCAACTCATTCTTTTCTTTTCTCCTTTTTCCTTTCGTAGAATGACCTGACAGCTCTTTAATTTCAGGAATTCAGTTATTTTGAATTATCTGATTTTTTTTTAAGTGTGTTTTGAACAGCCTCATACTAAGTTCAATTGGTTTATAAAGAATTTTACATGAGCAATTGTCAAGGCCGGCAAAGAAAGCAAAAGCAAAATGACTAAAACTGGGGAAGTGTTAACTTGAAACAAAATACTTAATATATTTTGAAATGTTTTCCTGATTTTTAAATGAAAATAAACCTCTCCAATTCCCAACTTGTCTCAGAGCTCTTGCAGCTTATATTTTGATTCAACTTAGATTATTCATAAATTGCTGTTGTAGTTGTATTCCTATGGGTGCAACATGCTGTATCTAGAAGGCAATGGTTCTGTGAAAATACAGGCCTAAGTAATGTAACCTAGAGTCATTCCCCAAATCACTTGGTGATTCTGAATTTCGTGGGTTTTCCAGGGCAGTGAAACCCACCGAATGTGGTCAATCCCATTCTGTTGGATGAACTACTGTGAGATTTCTCTGCACATGTTCCCACACCAAAGGTCTTTTGAGCTTTTTTGTTTTTGCCCTTATCTGGAGTTGACTATCCTGACTATGGGAACTCCCACCTTCCACTACGGAATTAGTGATTTTCCCAGTAGACGTAAAGCTCAGGCAGGTGTCTATAGTCTCTCAGTCAATTCTATTACCACTTTCCTAAACATTGCTGGGACATTTAAATTCCTATCTAAATTATCTTTTTCTTCTCACCCAGAGAGATATCCTTCAACTGTCAGGTAATGAATGTTTTCTTTTCATATTATAATCTTGGTTTCAATATTTCCAAACTTGTCTGGCCATTTTATCATGTTCACCAGCTGTGGTTTATCACCTTACTTCCCTTACAAGCATTAGACTGGGCTATTCATTTCTTACACATGTGGCTGACCTGAAGCCCCTCAAAGGGAAATACTGTATCTTGTTTAAAAATAAACACAAAGATTTGAGGATTTGTCACTACTTCTGGGAATGTGAATTCTGTAGCTCAGCCATTCAAAGATAATTTTTAAAAGAAGAATGAATTTAAAACTTGCAGAGGAGTTTATGGCTGCTGCACTCACATGACCTCCTCTTGAACGGCCTGTGCTTCTGAGTTCATCCTTCCAATTTCTTTGATTCTCTTTGTAAATCCTTGTTATTTTTCCTGCACGTAGTATATTAGCTGTTGAATCCATATAACTTGAGAAGTATTTTTTACGGAGTCATTGGCAGTTCTCTCTAATATTTCTCAGCATTCTGTGGCCAGGGAGTATCTTCCCCCAATTCACCTTTATCTCCTCCCAAGCCTTGACCATGCACTTCCTCTTCCTGACGAGTAGCTTCCAGGCACACAATTTGCCTCCTGAGCAGGATTTCAGTGATTTGACAGAGGCGGGAGCAGGGTAAAGACCTCCTGGGATGGGTTTTGTAGCAGCCAGTCCTTTTCTTGCATTAAAAGTTCAAGTGTCAAACTTCTCTCATCCTTTTCCTGCTCTGATGTGTTCCCCAATAGCAACTTGTTGTTGTTGTTGTTGTTGTTAACATTTAGAATGATACCAGGTTTCTAAGAGCCCAGAGGATGACATCATGTCCCGGGGTTGTCACATTGTCTCTGCTCCACCTGAGCACCCCCATCGCTCACAATCCTTGTAGTGTCCACCCAGTTGGGTTTCTCATTTTCCTTACCTTTTTCCTCAAGGGCTCTTGGAGCATTTATTCCTCCCGTTTAAGACTATTTATATCCATAAACCAAGTTTAATGCTGAGTTCCTGCAGATGCCTTAGCCTTCTGTGATTTCTGTTTCAGTGCTCAGGTTTTCTGGCTCTTGGTTTTGTTTTCTCTTTGTCCTGAAACATGTAATTTTCCTCTCCCCACCATTCTCTCAGAACATGAAATGGATGCCCATCAAACTCTTAGTGTCAGATTATGTAGTGTGCCACATTCAAGAAAGTAGTCTGTGCTTGTTTATTACGTCACAGAAATGTTAAAGTGATTTTTCCCTTTGAAAAATGAAACATTAGCATTCCCTGGAGCCAACAAACATGGTACAGAATAGTTACAAATTCTGTGGCAAATATAAATATAAATAAACATAAACAGTAAACAGAAATCATCCAAGCTATTTTTCAATGCACATTTGGCTTAAATATCCAGAAATTGTTCCTTGATGATTAAGGTTATGATTCCATTCTGAGTCCTTAAAAGTACGTTAAATGAGCTTTGTGGATCATTTGGTGCACTCTAGTGGGGCCTACATGAATTACAAACAGTCCCGTTTCCAACTCTCTCCCACCATTTTTGGGAGGGTGGGGTATGTCTTGGAGAGGCAGAAATTAGCTAAAAATATACTATGACATGATAGTCATGATAAAAAAGCTGGAGAACTTTTGAGTAAAAGGAGCATAGATCTGGAGAAGACGTGGAGATAGACAGTGCATTCCGTTGTCTCTAATTAGAGCTTCACCCAAGACAATCCAGAAGATAGATTACTACCCTAAGCATATGAATAAAGGAAAGAAGACATGAATCATGCAGTGTAACTGTGTTCACGTTTACTTCAAGAATGTTTTAAATACATGTTAAATGCCATTATCATCAAATATTTACAGAGTATGGCTTGTGTACATAAAATTGTTCTAGATGTTGTGATTAGTTTTTCCTGGGCAACTACATACATCATAACTACTAGCAAACTGCTACACACAACTGTTTCTTTACAGGTCAAACTACTTAGTAGAAAAAGTGAGAGAGAACTCTTCTAGGCTGGACAATATCACGACATTGTGGGAAACGGCCAGGTTCTGCCAATCGTGTTAAGGGATGAGTGAGAGTCCAGCATGGGAAATTTCTAGCCCAGTCTCCTTTAACATGGCACATATTTGTTTCCGTGTGTTTTTAAAGAGAGGAAACACCAATAGCCAGTGTAGGCAGAAGGCTGTGCAATGTTGCAAAGCCGAGGGGACTGAGAAGTAAGAGATCTGGATTCCAATTTATGCTCTTTCACCAGCCGGCTGGGAGACTGGGCGAGCCAGTAGACGATCTGGGCCTCCACTTTCTCATCTGTAAAGTTGGAGGCTTGGGCAAATATTTCTCCATGGGTTGGCTCAAGAGCTGATGTTATCCAGGAAATTGCATTGTTCACAAGTAGAAAGACTGTTTTTCAAGGCCCTCAAAAATCTATGAGAAATTTAGGGCCCTTTAACATTTATATTGAAGTCCTGTCTTCAACTCGGGAGAAATCATTTTAACCCGTTAAAACTGAACACTAGATACTTGTTAACATAATTCACGCAAATAAGGGCCATAGCAGAATGTCCTTTGAACATTCCCATTTGTTTATGATGTTTACATTCTCCTGGATCACCAGAACTCAGTAACTGACAGCAGGTTTACGGTGCTCATAACAGGAAGGGTGCCTAAGTGCAAGACAGAAACGTTTTGTTTTTGATAAGCAAATGCAGATACAGACAGACTCTGTCAGAATCCTCACTACATCCTTCAGTTTGGCATGGGAAATCGTTGTTCACGTTTTTCTCCTTAATAATATTAAATATGCATATAATATAGTAAATATTTATATATAGGTTTAAATATCCCATATGCCTAAGGTTTTTTTATTAAACCATACTATAATGTATTTGGATTCTGAATAATAATTTTCAATTCTTACTTAAAATCCACATAAGGGATATATTCTGCTAAATGTAAAGCAAAGTTGAGGTAAGAATGACATGAAAGTTTCCTTGACAAATGATTAAGTCCATCTCTTTGCCCACAGCTAAACCTAGGTGCTACATTATCTGGGCAGAAAGAAAATATTGATCTATTTTAACATTCACCATTCTAGTAGGTTCCCCAGTCCTCCTGATCAGTGCTCATGTTCCTGAGTTTAACTGCCTCTTCAGACCCCACCCTCCACTCCACGATATAATGTTAAGAAACACTATTGAAAGATGAAAAACTAAATAACATGGGGTTCATAATTGGTTCTCTGGTTTGCTTTTACCTCACCATGATTACCAAGTAAATGTAGTTGAATCATAAGTTCACCATTCAGTCATTTGTTTAAATAATAGTTATTAGTACCTAGTATGCTCTGGGTAGTATGTAAATGTCAGGGTTACAGCTTAGTGAATATTTTAAGCTTGTTCTATTTTGGTTTTATTAATGTCCCTAATTTCACAAAATGAGCTCTGTGGTTAACTGCTTGATACCAAGCTAAACAGTTGATTCAGTCAATATAGTACCTGACAACACGTAATCAAAATTTAAATAAAATTCAATGCAAGAACAAAGTCAGTTAAGGAAAAAAAAATGCTAGTGAAACTATATTTGGATTCATACCAAACCAAGTATGTTGTTATGAATGCATAATATAATTTTTACTAGTTTCTTGTGTACACAGAAAGCAAATTTTTAAAAATCATCAAAATATCAAAATATTGTTTACCTAAGATTGGTAAGGTGCCTGTCCCTGGTGCTAATGAAATGTATGGGAGTCAAGCTATGTGATGCTCAGCTTACTACAGAACTTTAATCATCTGCACCGCAGTTCTATATTAAGGTACAAGCCAAGAGCAATCGAAGAATTTGCCATATAGACACTCAGATCAAGTTTCTGCATTTCATTAGCTACAAATAGATGCTATATTTAGATTGTTTCTCAGAGCAGTACTTTGGTTATTATCTCTATCTCATAAAAATATTGGTGGAAATGAATCACTTTAAAAGCTGATCAGCTCTCGAAAATACG